AAATGATCACAAGAATGGTGAGCAAAAATCCCAGAACCACATGGGGGACCTGCTGAATGACCTAAGGCTGGGACTAACCTAACAAAGGCTACCCTCAGTAACACACTACACCACCAGGAGGCTGAGACCAATGTAACAAAGGCTGCCATCAGTAACACACTACACCACCAGGGACTCAGATCCTGCAGTGACAGACGTGTCTCCCTGCTTAAGCCAGTCCATATCCAGGCACGTCTGAAGTTTGCTAGAGAGCATTTCGATGTTCCAGAGGAGTACTGGCAGAATGTCATGTGGTCAGATGAAACTAAAGTAGAACTGTTTGGTAGAAACAACTCGTCATGTGTGGAGGAGAGTGAATGCTGAGTTGCATCTAAAGAACACGAAACCTACTGTGAAGCATGGGAGTGGCAGCATCATGCTTTGGGACCATTTCTCTGCAAAGGGACCAGGACGACTGATCCATGTACATGAAAGAATGAATGGGGCCATATATCGTGAGATTTAGAGTGCAAACATCCTTCCATCAGCAAGAGCATTGAAGATGAAATGTAGCTGGGTCTTTCACCATGACAATGATCCCAAGCACACTGCCAGGGCAACAAAGGAGTGGCTTCGTAAGAAACATTTCAAAGTCCTGGAGTGGCCTAGCCAGTCTCCAGATCTCAACCCCACAGAAAACCTTTGGAGGGAGTTGAAAGTTTGTGTCGCCCAGCAACAGCCCCAAAACATCATGCTCTAGAGGAGATCTGCATGGAAGAATCCAGTTYTCACCTCCTGTATCATGACTGAGTACTCTGTGAAATGCTGGTTGTTTGGGGTGAAGTAGTCAATGGTAGATCTTCAGTGGGTTTGTCACCAGCAGCTGATATAAACCCAGAAAACCCTGCAACAAGTTGCTTTAATCCACTACTCCCCACCACTTGGACAAGTAACCAGACATGACGCAGTTTGAGTAGACTTTGTTGTGGGTGGGATAAAAACTGCTCCATCAGGTAAAGGTGCTTTATTTGTCATCAGTGCATGTTCACATGCAAGGATGAAATTTGTGTTCTGCATTTGACCCATCACACATGAGAAACACCCAAGTGAAGCAGCAGGCATATATGTGAGTGCTGGGGAACAGTTGGGAACTGGGTCTCTTGCTCAAGGACACCACAACATGTAGGCATGGCGGGGAGTTGAACCTGTGTCTTTCTGGTCCCAAGTTGGCTGCTCTACCGCTACACAACAGCTGCCCTCAACTTGGGTCCAATTCGGTTATAGATATGGAAGGGGTTAGGGTTTCAGGTGTATCTACCTTCAAAGAGCGTGTCTTTTTCTGTTCATAGAGGAAACTTTATTTGATTTTACAGGAGTTTTCACCATTATCACAATTTCCATGCATGAAGGGGGCCACCTTCACACGTCATCGAGAAAAGCTGAGATTGCCATGGGAATGCCATTGTAAATGCACGACTACTGATTTTACAAAACTTTTCCATTTATTTGGATGACAATGCTTCATAAATCTTCCAGTCATGTCACTACCCATCTCCATTAATTCCTCATGCCAAAATGAATCCCAAACTGGGGTCATTTGCCTCTGCACAATGTCTAGTTAAGTCAATATGTTGATTTTACATTCTCTTTTTTGCATTTGTGGAAATCCAGGTTGGCAACAAAAATGGCACAATAAACATACATGTGACAAAATTTCAAGTGGATATCATCAACTTGTGTTTAATATGCATGATGAAGATTATAAATACACAAAGCTTTGAAAAAATATCAATAGGGTGTACAGGGGAGATGTTCCTGCGATTCAGTTTAGGCGAATTTTAGCATATTTTCTGTGTTCACTCCAGCTATTATGCGTCAAACATGATATAATCATAGGAATCTCTTTTTCAAGAAATTACCCATGAAAAGACAAAAATAAAATGGGGTGAATGGTGTCTGTTGGATGTATAGTTCAGGAGCTTTGTTGATTTAAAATTTTCATTTTTCACAATGGAAAATCCAGGTCAGCCATTAAAGATTGTCAATAAAAACATATATGGGACAATAATTTGCTCTGGGGCCATCACAATCCATTTACTAGACACCTTAAGGAGTACAAAAAGTTAGGTTAAAAATATATATCTTTCGGGTGCATGAGACCCCCACCTTCCTACTAGACTATAATGTAAACTCCACACAGAGAGGAACTAGCTGAGAGTCCAACGCAGGTCCTTTCTACAGAGCAACCCTGTTAAACAGCTGCACCAGCTCTTAGTGCTTTTTTAATGATTATTTGATTTGATTTGATTTGATTTGATTTGACTTGACAGATAAAAGTCTTAAAGTGCATTAACCTTTCTGCACCTCTGCCCTGCTCTTCCTATGATGAAACAGCAGAAGAATGGGTGCAGAGATTCAACAAGGATGGCTGAACTCACTCTCAAATTCACAAATGTTGCAGAACACTCCCTCTGACAGCTTTCTGTCCATGTGACCCTTTTCTCCTCTGTAGATTTAAAGAGGATTGGAAGGAGACAGGAAATGTTTTCTCTGCAGTGTTGAGGGTCCTCCATACTTTGTGAGGAGTGAAGCTGAGGCATGTCATGGACATGGCAGCGCTGCACTGAGACGACATTCCATCAGCTCCAAGTATTTTGTCAAGAAAAGATTTGGATTTCCTGCTTGCTGAATAGACCACGGATTCAACTCTTCATTCACTAGACAGTTTACAACCCAAGTGATCCATACATACAAAGAAATCAAATCATAAATGTCCAGAAATGAAGTTATTTGTAATAATGTGGAATGGCACAGGGGAAAAAATATTGAACACATGAAGGGAGGTGTAAAAAGGCATGGAAAGCCAAGACACCAGCTGAACTCTCTCAGTAATTAGAAAGCAAGTCTGCCCCTTGTCAGTGCAAGTTAATATCAGCTGGTTTAGTCCCAAATGATAGGCAGGTATCACACAAGAACATCTGATGATGGGTAAAAGTAAAGAGCTCTCTCAAGACCTTCACAACCTTATTGTTGCAAAGCATAATGATGGCATCGGTTACAAAAGAATTTCTAAAGTTCTGAATGTTCCAGTGAGCACTGTTGGGGCCATAATTTGGACAAAATTTGGTGCTCCTCGCAAGATTTTTGACAGAGGAGTGAAAAGAATTATCAGAAGAGTTGTCCAAGAGCCAAGGACCACTTGTGGAGAGCTTCAGAAAGACCTGGATTTAGCAGGTACGTTTGTTTCAAAGAAAACAATAAGTAATGCACTGAACCACCATGGCCTGTATGCACGCTCACCACGCAAGACTCCACTGCTGAAGAAACAGCATGTTGAAGCTCCTTTAAAG